AAAAATTAACTGTCCAAGTACAAAATGGAGTGAGCAGTTCAAGTGGAAAAAACATGGGGCCCAGTCTGAGTTAATAATGTGGTATTGTCAATGATGTTACCGATATGGCAACCAAAAAGGCTCATTTGAATTTAGTCTGCATCAATGAAGGCCTAGTATCCAAAATGAGAGAAGTGATAGTCCATTCTGAAGTACTTTGCCTTGGTCAGACTCCATCCAGAGTATTGTGTTTCCTTATGGGCATAAAATAAGGAAAGACATTAACAAGTTTCTACAGAGGAAGGCAGGAAGAGGGCAACCAGTATTATAAGGGGGATTCAAAACCATGGCAAAGGATATGGCCAATACAAGGATAAATTTAAAGAGCTAAGAATGTTCATTTAGCCTGGATAAGAGAAGACCTGATTGGGGGGAACATGGTAGCTATTTTCAGGTATCTGGGGAGTTGTCCTATGGATGAGGGATTATTACACATGTTGAATTTTGGCCCAAGTGGACTTTGCCAAATGGGCAAAAACTGCCTGGCTGTGATCCAGACATTTATTTCTCTGAACATCAGTTTTCCATGTCAATAAAATGGGGATAATAATTGAATCTGCCTCTCAAATATTAGAGACCTATAATTGTGGTGGTAGTGATAGTAGCAGCAGCAGCAGCAGCAGCAATAGAACAAGGAGTAAATGAAATGGAAGTCATAACCCCTGGGTTTTATGATCTAGCCTTGGAATTCAAGGAATTCAAGAGATTAGGTACTTCAGGAATTCAAGAGATTAGGTACTTCTGGATCTGGGTGCTGGTTGACCAGAAGGAAGTTCTTGTCTCCTAGAAATCTTATGAATATCCCATAGAAAATTCATGGTGTTGAGCCTGTGACCTGGCTCTAATACAGTAGATGGGGCGGTGGGGGTGAATGTGTACCTGAGGATCCTCATTACCTTAGGATCATGGGGTCATAGCTAGAAAGAACCTGAGAGGCCAACAACCTTTTAGGGAAAAGTTAAAATAAAGTGCTATTCTGGCTCATAGAGACTTTTTTTCCATTGGAATTTCAATTTCATCTGCATAGGGGACTGCTAGCAAGGAGCTACTCTTCAACTTATATTTAGATACCTGCCTAGAGCACTGAGATGTTAAGTGAATGGCCAAAGAGAGATCAGTACTGATCCGAAATTGCTGTGAAATTCCACCACAACAAATAAAAATCTTTCTAACATAGACTTGTAAACTTTCATTTGGCAATCCTACATTTCAAGCAGTATTCAGCTTGAGAATAATTCTAGTATAGCAAATGAAATAGAATTCCTTGGAATTGTCATTGTCATGGACTTTAACAAATAACGAAAGCTATGGAAATATATACAAGGTGACTCAGAGTAATAATGAAATCAGAATCAGTTAGTCAGGGAGGTTGTTTGCCAGAGTTATTTTGAGGAACAGAGTGATATGAACAGAAAGATAACTCCATGAGCCTCTAAGTTCCCTAAGACAGACTTCATGCCTTCCTTGTTTCATACAATATATGAAAAGTTGTGCATATTAATAATTTTGTAACAAGAAAAAAAACTGCCTTTAATTTATCTGGGGGTTCTGGTACATGTTAAATGAGAGTCAGTGTGGTATGGTGGATAGAGATCTGGCCTTAGATTGAGGAAGAACTGGGTCAAGTGTTGCCTCTGACAAATATTGGCTGTGTGACTGGCATCTAACTACTTAGCATCCCAAGTCACTCACTAAGACTAGAAGTTGCAGAGCAGATATCTACCTCCATTGGTAGAGAAAGTTCTTCATTAGGAACTCAAAGTATCAATGCAATCATAGATCCTATCAAAAATACAAATATATGTAAGTGCTTATTTGTACATATGTATATGTGTATATATTACATATATGTTTATATAAAAGATTATCCAAAATCCAATTAATATGATGTTTTTCTAAACTGTTTTTAATGAGAAAAAGGCAAACACAATGCTCACTGAAAAAATAAAATATATCTGGGATCAGTAAAAAAGACTCTTTCCAATCTTCTGCCCGTATACTTACAAAAAGAAGGGTTAATAGATAGAATTGTGGTTTTACCCAATTAATAAAAAAGTCAGTTATTCACAGATCTCTATTTATTAAATCAATCAATTGCCAATCAATAAATATTTATTAAGCACCTACTTTATTAAGCATTGACCTTGGCATTATTATAAAAAACCAAAAATGAAGCAGTTGCTGATCTCAAGGAGCGTATATTCTGGGATGGAAAAGATGATAAGTACATGCAAAAAAAAAATGGGGCAGAGAGGTGGCATAGTAGATAGAGCACTGGTCTGGGAAGGAGGAAGACTCATCTTCTTGTTCCAATCCGGCCTCAAACACTTACTAGCTGTATGACTCTGAGCAAGTCACTTAACCTGTTTGCTTTAGTTCCCCATTTGTAGAATGAGATGAGA